GTAGTGAGGAATTGTAAGGTTGAATCAACGAGTTATTTAGTTGATAATGTAGGGAACATTTCGGTTTTGTGGTACCTTCATCAAGATATATGGTTGATCAATGAGATGTTTCTTGAAACTAAAATGCAGGAGAGCAAGTGTAATTTTGAGGGAAGATGATGTATGCGACGCCCCAAGCTTTGATATGGATCTTAAATCGCGACCATGAGCCTGAGTCGGTTATCTGTTGAGACCGCGAGGAATTGTTGTTGTTTGATGAGAAAATGTGTTATGTACTGAAACATGTTGTTTGTTTTCATCTCAAATATGTATGTCGCTCTTTGTGTTCATGTTTGGTTTTAGGGTCATCCTCATTTCTAAGCTTCTAGGTTACAATTGGGTAATAAGAGTGGTCGGGTTTGATTGATACGGTCCACGATGGTCGATATGAGGAAGATCGGTATTCATTGTTAAACAAGTAGATTGAGCAGAAACAAGAGGACATATCACATTAATGAGAGATGAGTTTCAAGACAGAACATCAAAGTCTCCAAATAAAGCTTAAAAATCTTTATTACAAACTCTTTTCTAATCCCTTGTGTATTACACCGGCGATTTTCATCCTAAGATGTATCATTCAAGTGTTTAAAACACAGACAACAAAAACATGTTCTTGCTCATTCCCAGACTTCATTTACAAGAGTATATACACAATGGCGTTTCTTTTGGTTTCAGACAAATTACCTTATACACATGCCTGCAGATTCGAGGAGATCATGTCGCGGAAACTCGCTCTCCGCATGATTGGTGAATCATTTTATAATGGATCCGAAAGGTTTTTCAGTTTGGGTATATATGTATAGATATATATCTCCTCTTTTTCTTTCTTCCTTCCTTTGGTCTCCAATGTACAATGTGGATTTGTTTGCTCCCACTATCTGGAAAAATGAATATGAACACACCATTAAAAGCTTCCCTATGTACTAATCAGACATAAGACTCGATGATATGTACGAAAAGCCTCAAATTTTATTCCTTTTGGCCACAAATCAACCGAATTTTCGATGAAACAGTTACAAGGAAAGCTATAGCGAATCTAACTAAGGTCATGCAGGTAAATATATTCTCTTCACAAGAACATGTAACCTAAAGCTCAAGAATCATCATCACACCAACACAATTCATACAA